CTTGCATTTCAGTTTTTTTAGTTGCCCAAAAAGTCAGACTGGTTACTTCTGAGCATGCTGGGTTCATGCTCCGATACAGAGGGATAAACAAACAGAGTGAAATAGTCTATTTATATAATGACAACATGTGCCACTGTGTAACATATTTTATATCAGTTTGAAAATAAGAAGTGACACGCGAGATAAACAGGAAATTCTCAATTGAAGAGACAAGTGTACAAAACATTTATTTTATAACGTATTTTATAAGTATAATATTATTGGTATAGTAAGTATAGTACAATAAGTTTATAGTGAAACAAGAACACAAAGGAGTAGCATTATAAATGTGATCTCAATGTAACAGCATGTACTCATAAATTAAAAAGTTAAAGAAATGCAACACATAAAAGCATCATAGAATCAGACAGACAATATATAAGTATCCAAAAACAAACAAACAGGATTGTATTATAATATACATGGTGCCCAGCTGGAAAAATCCGATTGTAAATCCGGTTGTATAATAAGCACCAGTGATAAAGGGATATATCGGGGGTATGTAAACCACCCTGTAATAACAGGCCACCCAGCTAGTTTTTTGTAATGTCTGGATCCCCAGTTCTTTGTGCAGATGAGGAGTACAAAACAGCTTCTCTCGTTGATAACGGATGGATCCATCCGGGATTTCTGTTATCATGGGACGTTTGGAACGGATTTATGTGCTTCTGCTACATTCCTATATCACTGTTGCTTATTATCAAATTCAGCTTTATAATCACCGTACAATGTGCATGCAAGGACAATGAAACACAGTTGGTCTCTGATCAGAAATACAGTAGCGATTAATAAAAATACTATTAAAAAAATGTACTCTCAGAGTAAGCGTTAGCAGTCCTTACCGAATACTATAGTACCTCTAGTACCTCTAGTACCTAAGAAACACAATCCCTTCTTCATTAATAGAAAAAGTTTGAACAGACTAACAATACATATAGACATTACACGATTGTGTCACCAATATTGTACAAATTCAACAATATAGCCTATAACCGCAAATCCAAGTAAAAATATCTGTCCAATAAAAAACACCATACCTTGTGCAATAAAGCGTACCAAAATACCATACAATTAACACAATCTAGTGCAAATATATACATTTAACATGTGACAAATTAGCACATACAACAATATGCATTAAGTGTAAAATATGAGCACGTGTAACATGCAAGATGTGAGCACATTAACCATGTGCATTAGTACAAAATGTGGACACATAATTCATGTGCAAAAAAGATACATAATGCAAACACAAGAACCATGTGCTTACAATACAGAGTGTGAGCACATAGACTATATAAAGTGCAAAATGTGAGCATATAATAATGTGCATAAAGGTGCAAGATGTCATATCGACCATATACATAAGTGCAAAAGTGAGCACAGTGGCCGTATACATAAAGTGCAAGTTGTATGTTAGTCATAAGCAAAGTGCAAAGAAACCATACTAAGTGCATATCAGTATACAAAAGACTTGTGCAAATTATACAAATGGATTTTCCCAGCTGGTCACCAAGCATATCGTAAGACAATCTTTTTTTATTTTTTATTTTGGAGATTAATTTATTGTCTATCTGATTCTATGATGCCTTCATGTGTTGCATTTTTTCACTATTTTAATAAATGTGTACATACTTGTTAGATTAAGATCACATTTATAGTGATACTCCTTTTTGCTTATGCATTACTTATTCACCGTATTTATTGGAGTTTGTTTGCACAGAAGTTTGTAATAACTTTGTAATATTGTTATAATACTAATATTACTATTTTAAAAATCTTCCTTTAGTGGTATAGTTGTTTCTACATATTTTCACTGTTTTCATTTATAATGAAATTAAAACATACTTGAATTTGGGGATAGGTCACAAGTTAAGCATATAGAAGTAAAAAAAAAAGAGAGAGAGCTCTGCTGAAAAAAAAAGATAATCTAACTAGCTACTTAATTTTATTTCATGGTAATAAATACCTAAAATGCCATTTCTGACAGCAACTTGGGAATTCAAAGAGCAACATTCTCACATTTTTCTAGTGTGAGAATACAGACTGACTATCCCCAGTCCTATACATAAATAAAGAAATAAAAGTAGAAAAAAATACAACTTTGTGGTTGGCCAAGACTCCCAAAATAAGACGGCAGTGCTAATTTGGTTTAAACTGAGCTAGTTATGAGAAGTTCACCTCTTCACCACAATGAATATATATTATATCACATTTATATAAATGATATATCACATTGATTTCTGCGTTATTCATAAAATATTCCCATTTCCAGTGGTGATGCATCTGTCATGATGCTGGTTCTTGGATGATGACTTGTTACACCCACCTTTCATTTTATCATAACTACTGTCACCTATCAAATAAATGAAAACTCCAAACACCTAAGGCACCTTAGTTTGCCGAAGGGCTTTATGTGTGATGTGTGCCATTTAAAAAAAAAAAATACAGTATAATTTGGCACTTTTATAAATTAGCCATGTTACACCATCTGGCTGGTTCTGTTACAACAAACGTCAAAGTGACAGCCACTATAGGCTTTTAAATCCTGCAATGTATACATTGTTTTACATTGCAGGATTAAAACGAGACAGACATGGCACCCAGACCACTTCATTGAGATGACATGGTCTGGGTGCCTATTGTGTCCTGTTAAGTATGGGAAATATTATATCACACCTGTATTCATTGTTTGTTTTTAAAATTAATATTGCTGAATAATAATAATATTAAGATGGTCCTAATAATTATATATTTTTTTCTATTCCATCTGTCATGGCAGATACCTTTGGATTTCAATCCTCAGAAATAAATACCCATGAGAACATAGACTGGGAAGAGGTAAAAGAAGAGACTTTTTGCAGAATGAATGGGATTCCTTCACAAGTAATCCCAATCTTTCTGCATGGTCTCTAAGGGAGATCTGTCATTAGCTTTAGCCCTGTTTTGAAGAGTCCATTGTTACAACAACACAAGACCAAGGAGAGAACTCCACTAAGGGCAGAGGATGTGTATATTTGGGTGAATGCTTTTTAAAAAGAATGTTACCAATGCAGCTGAGTTGAATTGACAGGCCCTCTCTACACTAAATTGTATTCCGCATTGGATGTAGCTGCTGGTCCTGACCCCCTGACCTGGGCCATAATGATTGCTTCCTAGGCTTAATATCTTCACTGCTCAGATTCCATCTACAAAGGGCTACAATCAATGGCTGAGAACAGGACACAGGGCAAGAAAGGTCAAAGTAGTTAAGACGTGTAAACTTATTTACAGGGGTTTGAAGCTACTATGGAAATTCCTCGGCGTCTATGATCAGAACATCAACTGTAGGGCTGTCTGGGTGGGATAACGGCACAGTCTATTAACGAAGATGGCAATAAAGAAATACTTATGGTCTACTAAGGACAAATATATAGTATGCATGTGATCTATAAATATATATATATATATACACACACACGATGTTAAAAAAACAAAAAACACAATTTTTACAACCTTCATTCACTAACCAAAAGGGTAATAAATTTTTTTATTTCTTCTGTTTTCATGCTTAGGCCTTTTTAAAATATAATAAATTTGGTGCCCCCCCCCCCCTCCTATTAGTCTAATTCCTCTGTAATTTATTTTATCATTCAGCTTTTATTTAGTACCAAAAGGTCTCAACTATAAACCCAATGAATGTGCAATCGTAAACATATCAAGAGATATTAAACACCCCAGTCCTGTTCTATTAACATTAGTAAATCAGACAACAAGATAGAAACATATCTCCTCCACTCTGCATATCCAATCCCGGGTCATTGGCACCACTCTCTGCTTCTAGAACCTGGGAATGAGACAGTATGCTGTATTTACTAGGTTTGGGAAAGCAGATTTCAGGTATGTCTAAGCTGGGAGATTTGTAGCTTGCAATTTATAAGATTCTGTGCTGAAATGGGGTGGCAATCCACCAGCTCAGTGATTCTAGTGGATGTTTTTCCAGTAAGGCTGGATTAATGTGCAGGTCCACCATATGTAAACCAGGTACCCCAGTTCTTTATTACATCTCCAGTATTCCAGATCTATTGTGGAGTACATTCGGGTCAGAGACTCTGGGGTGCGATACCAACTGTATCCTGCCTCCTGATAATATATGTGCTAATGAAAGATTAATGCGTGAGTAGGAATATTTTTTCCCAATGGTCCCTGTATACAATTCTTTTTAAGTCTTGCTCCCAATATTTAGTGAAATATAATGGAAATCTGTTAATGGGGTGATGAGTAGTTAATAGATGAAGGAAATGTAATGTGGTGGAGGGCCAGCTTGTATGCAAACCATCTCCGAAGGAGTGACATCACATAAGGTATTAGTGTCTCTGAGTACAAAATGGGAATAGTGAGCTAGTTAGTTATACCAGAAGCAGTTTAGCACATTTGCTGAGTAGGCTCCCATGAGGGATTCCATGAGCCATATGTTCCCATTTGTGTGAAGGTCATGTACTCTTAGTGGGGAGGAAATCCTAACTATCAACCCTCCCTCCTATTCACTTGGGTTGGCTTGTTTTATTTTCTCTTATCATTTTTAAAAGATGGTTTGGAAATGGTTTACAAATTAATTCATGAACAATTTGTGAGCTATCAGACCACAGTTTGAGTCATTTATTGGCAGATCAGAAAAGATCCTGTTCAATGCTAATGCAGGTAAATTTAATAAAAAAAAAAAGATGTTGTAGTAATTGTAATAAAATTTGTAAACCAAATTGCATAATTTTGTGGAAATAGCCAAGTTGTGATTAAAGCTGAATTGACATTTTACCTTAATTTTACAGTTCAGTTTTCAATTCACTGCAATTCGCTGTTTAGGAAATATTCCCCAGGATTAATTTCAAGTGTAAATTATTGAAAATGTTAAATAAATTTCAACTTGTAGATCAAAATTCAATCCACTGCTGGATATGATAAATTTACCAATTTGGCTATGGCTATATTGTCTTAAATGTGAAATTCCCAATAATTCGCACTTTGTAGCATACTGACATTTGGGTTTAAAACATTTGTGAGAATTTCTCTGAATCAATTTTGCATTTCAAATTTCAGTTTTTAGTATCTGGAGTTAAGTCAAAAATCCCCTTAGTGAATAACCCTGACACTGAATTGCCACTGATATTTTTTGCCACTGAGTGATTTTCCTTTAATCTGCATTTACACATTCAGAACTTAATTCATACACTGTGAATGTCCTTGACCTCTGAAAAGCATCTCTAAGTCAGCAGCCAATGAGTTAATGCAGTCTTGTGCTAGAGAACAACCTCAGATGACCTACTGGAGTTTATATCAATGTCACTTCTTAATGTGAAGCTGCTGGCTTCCGGTCCATGCCAGCTTCTTTGGGACTGAACTCAGCATCTTGTGACTGCAGTGATTAGCATTTCAAACACTATGCTCACTAGTGTGAACCTCTTACTATCCCGTTGCAGGAAATTGCTGGTTACCTGAGGCATAAATTCCAAAACAAAGCAGAATTGTAAAAAGTCAGATGACACAGGGCGTCTTCTTTCACAAGAACACACCGCTCCCCGCAGAAGGAATTCGGAATTCCTTGACTATTAAAGGGACACTGCAAGCCCCACAATCACTGCTTCTTATTGTAATGGTTAAATGCTGGGCGCTGTTTTTTCGAAACTGTTTTGAAGCAGGTTGAAAAAATTTTTTACAAAAATTGTGTTTTCCGGCACCCAAAGTCCAAACTATAAGGTTATGATGTTATAACCTGGAAACTCCATTTACTTATACTTTGAAATGCTTATACGGCTTTGCCTTCTTTTGCTGCAGGTCTCCAAACTGTCCCTATTTTAGGATCCCTGGTTTGTTCCCTGGTGTCCCACTTTTGGGGATACCAAGGAACTGTCCCCAGAAAGCTAAGTGTGAACACATCATCAAACATGATTGGCAGTAATGCTGGTGTGAATTTATGCCAGGCTGACATGTCTATTCTCTGAGCGGACCCTAAAAAGGATAAAGATCCCAAGGGGCCTTTGGCAGGTTACCAATATGGGCTCCCCCTTCATTTTTTACATGGAAGTGGCAGGCCTGCCTTCAGGGGGTGACAACGATGATGGTTGTCAAAGGCCTGGCGGTCTCGGGGGGCCCAGACTCATTGCCTCTGCTTTGTAATCCACTGTGTGCCGATTCCCTATACTCCGTTACCCAATGTATGCTATATATATATATATACCCTTCCTGGCTTCCGAGAGGGGGTTAAGGACACAGTAAGCTCTCTCTCCAGCAGTCTCGCAAGCCGCGGCTGTAAAGCATTGCTGCGGGTTGCTGTGGCAACACTGCGCAGCACGTAATGCATGCCGAACTCGCAACAGAAAGAGAGGAGTGGCTGCCAGAGGGGGAAGATGAAGACTACTGGACCCTTCTTTGCTGTACAAGCAGCTGAGCCACCGGACCACCACAGAAATCCAGTGTCCCCCTCCCTGGCCTCAGGAAAGAGGCAGGGAGAGGGGCATAAATATTATAAAAATAGAAGAAACCCCTCACCCCCCCCAGCCCTTGTCCAACATACAGACACATCCATTACATCCACTACAAAAACACACACACAGCATCCACTACATTCACTATACACACAGCATCCACTACACAAACACACATTGCATCCACTACACAAACACACAGAATGTATTCACTGTACAATCCCTGGGTGATAGGCAGCTGCCTAATGTTGCCTTATGGTTAATCCTGTTCTGAGTTGTCCTCCCCACTTTCTGGCTGGTCTTTGGGAAATTGGTTAATACGTTTTTCATATCTAACAATACTAAGTTTATATATAACAACCCAAGGTTTGGAGCATTCTTTTAAAGTTAGGTGTTATAGAAGCATGGAACTTGGTAATTTATAAGTGAATCAGATTTTAAGCTATATAATTTCCTTTTACCACCATGTGATATTTAAAATGTACTTAGTCACTCATGCCTTGCATTTTGTGTCAATGTGTATGTTAGCCAAGGATGAACCTAATTAGATGTTCTAGTTTTAGGACTGCTTCAAACCTGTGCTGTGGAATCTACCTGCTTTTTCTGGATTTTACTAAACCCATTTAATTTGAGCAAGCATTCCCAGCAATAGCACGAGCTAAACAGATCGAGGAATTCTAAAACATGTGACACAGACATATGGCTAGCCTGAATGCAAAAGAGGGTGCGTAAGCGACCGAGCAGAGTTCCGAGTTTTAAATTAGGTCATTTAAATGACAAGGTGGGTAAAGGAGTTCAGAGTAGGACTTTAGTTTCATGTCCTGGAATGGGAAGCGGGCAGAGAGTACTGTTCAGAGAAGAGTAGTCAGGCATTAATTTTATTAAGCTTAATGATGGTGAATGTCCTTTGGAGTTTTGCCAGCATGCTTTGGTAGTTTGCAGTTACAATATACCTGTTAAGGAGGGGAGGCTGCAAACTTTAAATACAGTTTTTACAGTTTTGTTTTTTAAATTGACATTTCAGGGACAATATTTAGTAATATTTTAGTAGCATTCAAAATGTAGATGGTCCTACTCTGACCCTTCACCTTGCTTCGTTGAGCTTCTGGCAAAGATATTTCTAATGAGACAGAAAGGGGTAGGACCCATCTAGGGGGGTCTGCCTTGACGTTGGCAGGCGGGCATTCCCTCCAGTGGCCATTGGAGTAACTAAATGACCTCCATTTGTTTAAATATACATAGGGATTAAGGAGAGAGCACAGGTAACTTTTTTCCTTGAATTTGTATTCACTTTTTGTATCACACAGCTAGGTTGCAATGCTGCTGCCCATCCCATGTGTTCCCTATTAAGGGTTAATAAGTATATAGGGGTGTATATAAAAAATACCCTTTCTGTCTCATTATTTCTAAAGCACCAACAAATTCCACAGAGCTGTACAATGGGTGGACTAACAGACACGTACTTGTAACCAGACAAGTTGGATGCACAGGAACAAAGGGGGTTGAGGGCGCTGCTTAAGTAGCTTATATTCTAGAGGATATCTATCTATCACATCGTCCAGTGCTACCACTCACAAGTGAGCTGTACTAATTGTTACCTGATAAAAAGCATACTCTAATACTGCTGGGCAATGCGGTCCTGATGAGATATATCTGTCTTGCCAACCAAAGAACTAAGCATTACAGGATGCCATACGAGCCCCGGAGCATTGCCTGTACCAGCCTGATGGCCGTCCTGATGCTAAGGAAAAGAATCAGTTAATTACAAACGATAACTTCTGTTGATTTCTCTCCTACTGTTTATGAATATTATATACTACAGGGCAGCACTTTCTGATCCATAAACATCTCTGTCATTAAATACCTTTCTCTTCCTAGGGGTCATTTCCTACAAAATTAATAGTGGAAACTCATAAAGATCAAAGCTGTCCCTCCCAATTATACTAATAATCCAATGCAAAATGTGTGTGCAAAGAATTATGGGAGTATATATATGATCCCTCAAAATGGCAGCTCATTGCTTGTGTGCGTGGTGGAGAAAAGTCACATTTTTATGCAGTTCATTTCAGTAATAGGCCTCATCTCACACTCATATTCACTCATAGGAACAGCGATTGTGATGCTTTGCATTTAATATCCTGCAGTAACTCCAACTACTCCAAGGCCTCATCTCACACTCATACTCACTCATAGAAACAGCGATTGTGATGCTTTGCATTTAATATCCTGCAGTAACTCCCACAACTCCATGTTACTGATTAAAGCTTGTAAGATAGTTTACCTCATTTAGTCTTACATTGCTACTATATTACCATGTGTTACTATAGAATTGTTACCAATTATACCCGTAGTTAGCCACTGTTATTTTTTGTGTGTGCAGTTTTTATCATTGTTATTTAATGTTTCTGACCAATATTTCATGTACACAGTTATTATTATTTGGGTATTAGAATATGTAAATAATCTATAGATAAAATAAATAATATTTGCTAAACTTTTCAATTGTATACAACAAATTGCTACTCTACCAGTAATAAATAAATAAATAAATGGGGTGAATTAAAAAGAAAAGGAACTACAACTAACAAAAAAAACCTTTTAGATATGTAATCAAAGTCAGCAGTGGAATTAGAGAACATTATATTAATTGTCAAACAGGAAAGGGAAGTCCAGTATATGAATCCTATCCTAATTAAAATCGGCTGAGATCCCGCATCTAGGGGCTTAGTTCCCTGATATGCAGGATTAATAATCTATGAGTGTTTTTAATCACATTTTTAAAAATAATAATTGTATTTTACATAGAGCACTATGTTTCTTCTATTTTGTATTTTAGATACATTAGAGTTTGGCACTATTGTTCCCTAAGTATATATCTAGTAAGGATTCTATATTTTAAAGATTTCTGATGTCTGCATGTACAATCAATAATGATTTTGCCACTATTGGAAGTACTATATGATTTAATTATACAGGTTAATTTAGTTTGCTCACAATGAAATCTGCAAATTAATAAATTAATAAATAAAGCATGAGAGCGAGAGAGAGAAAATTCTCAGAAATTTAAAGTAAATTTTAAATTTAAGGCCAAATATTTTCAAATTCAACTATACTTCCAGTTCAACTATTTTGGCCTTAACATTTAAATTCAATTTGAATTCCCAACAATGATCAATTTAGTAAATAACCCTGTAACTTTACATTCTATCTCACCTTACTTTAGAAATAGTTCCATGTTTATATCCTGATAAATCTGTTGTAGGGTACTTCAGAATCTGTGGGAACTATACGATCAGGGCTGACCCAACCAGAAGGCCGAACCGGCTCAGGGGGAGCAAATTTCGGGTTGACCGGCAGTCGTAAGATACACTAAAAGGGGGTTTAAAACACAAACGAAGGGAAAAGAACTACAAAGAGGGGTAAGAAATTTAACAGGGCGATTAAAACACACACAAGTGAAGATGCATTTTTTGTGGGGGGGGGGGAAATGGGAGGGTGACAAAATGCATCTTTGCCTGTGTAGCCCCAAATCATTGCACCCACCCTACAAACAATTAAACTATGATTACGAGGTATTCTGAAAGTGATTTATCTGCAAAGGTTGTGATGTTGGATAAGATAAAAAGGTGTAGTTTGCACTAGCTGAACTACAATGCTGACTAAACCAAGAGGAATTAATATAGAGGAAAGGTCAGTTGTGTAACTATTGCTGTTAAAGAGGCACTGACTAAGAGATTTAGGGAGGT